TGACTGAAGTTGAGATGCCAGGACAGGACAGATATCATAACACGCGCTTCTTTGATTTTTGTCGAGAGACCCGAGATATATAACCGGAGCAACTGACCAGATAGGACGGCAAAAATCAATTGGTAGATTTATAAATGTGCAAGCTAGATTCTGACGAGAAAAAAATGGCTGACACTACACACAGGGTATGCGGGATTTTTATACCCTTTCAATTTATATGACCAACAATTTGCCCTCTGTAGAAAATAAGAGTAAAAAGAGCATTGACGCAACTCGGCGAGAGAAAACAGGGCAACACCAAACTTGAGTAGAAAAAAGAAAGGCTTTCGCGAGAAAAGTTGGCTCTCTATGCCGCACCAGGAAATTTTTATCCACGAAATCGATAGTTCAAACATAAAAATCAACCATTCACCTTTGCATGGTGTATTGCTGCCATATATGGTCTGGGGCACCTTCTGTTTGCCTCGGAGTTCTTGACAAGATCCAGAGACGGATATGTAATGTAGTTTAGCCCTGATCTGGCGTCTTGTCTACAGTCACTCTCTCACAGACGCGCCGTCGCCTCTCTCTGTCTTTTCTACAAATACTTCCATGGTAATTGCTCTGATGAGCTGCTTTCACTGGTTCCCAGACTCCATGAATTCAAGCGCCCTACGAGGCTGGCATCCCGCTCTCACTCTTATACTGTAGAAACTTTTAAATGTAGCCGTCTCTTCTACTCCAATAGCTTCATAACTCACACCTCTCACCTGTGGAACATCCTTCCCAATTACTATTTCCTTGAGAGCTATAATCTCCAACTATTCAAATGTAATGTCAATCGACACTTCCAGTTACCTTGATCTATCCACTATCCTTCTCCTCATCCTTTCTTCTATCACTCCTATCTGCTCTTGCTCCAAATCTTCTGCAACCTTCTGCATCCTAGTGGCTTCACGCCTTGCTCGGGGCGTAATGCTTAAAAAAAAAAAGAAAAAGAAAGAGGAAGTGGTTTTTGCGAGGACTTAACTGGTGACAATAAAGTTCGTTCTTTTAACAGTTCTTTTCATTTTTGTTGCAACGTCGGAATATATTCGTCTTGAGGTTGAAGAGGGATTCAGTTTTCGGATGTTTTGCTGCAACTGCTGGGACATTCTCGTTCCTATGTTGTTGTCATGGCTGCTCCATTTTCGGACACCATGTGGCTGCTGGTTGAGTTTTACTGAGCTAAAGTAGTCCGTGTTTCATCACAGTCATGCATCTCGTCTTGTTGCATATATGTTTCGTTGTCATCCTTTCCTCTTATTCCCACAATCTTTTGTACCAATAAAAGCCATTAAGGTGAAATGGGCATCAGCAATGATACAAAGTAAATTTTCTGAAAAACAGAAATATCAAATCAGTTAAATATCACCCAAATAGTTCAAATATACACATCAAAATTATGCCTGTATATGGGGATTCCGGATATGAGACACTCTGGATATGAGGGATTCCAGATATTAGGTATTCCGGATAAGAAGGGTTCTACTGTATTAGGAAACAGGACAATTTCGTTAGAAATAATGCAAAGAGCGTGCAACTATTATATAATATCAGTTTTGCTATATGGGTGTGAATGCTAGACAATTTCCTCATACACAGAGACTTGAGACGACGCTGATATGGTTCTACAGAAGGATATTGAGAATACGAAGGGTGAATGGAGTAAGGAATGAGGAAGTTTGGATGAGAATGGAAAGAAAAAATGTCAATAAAATCAGAAAGAGTTGAAAGTTCTGGATCTTAGTAAATTGCTCGAAATCAATTGCTCTAAAAATAATTTCTCGAACTATCAATTGGTCGAAAGGCAGATTGCTTGAAGTAATTTCGAAGCTCGAAGCACCACGACACGTCACTTTGAAAAGAACCATCCGTATTATTCACGCAAGGGAAAATGCTGGACCTGCTATGCCTAATAGCTACCTCGATCTTAACATCCCAAAGTTTAAAAGAATTGCAAATAGAGCAATATGCGAGAGGACTGAGTGCAGCTGAGTGCAGAAAAAAGTACCGTGACTGTTCAATGCGGTTAAAGAACATTGTGTCAAACTCTGACACGACAATGAAGAATATTCAAGAAGTGTTGCATATAATATTTCATACTAATAGAGTAAATATTAGCAACAATAGTTATATTTTATTTTAAATCACGAAGAATAACAGTAATAATAAAAATGTACCCTTTATAAGACCTGGTATATAAATGTACTCGTTCTTTAATTTTAACTGTTCAGTTAACAACAATAAAGTTGTAATATTTTATCTTATAGTAAATATTAGAAACAATGTAGTTTTATTTTTTTTTAACTACAGGTTTCGAGCTATCTGCCGTTCGAGCAATTGATAGTTCGAGAAATTATTTTTCGAACATTTGATTTCGTGCAATTTACCGGATACCGAAATTTCTGGTGTAAATAAATAGAGAAGACCTGGAAACGTTTGTACACAAGAAAATTTTTAACAAGAGAGACAGAGGAAAGCAGAAAGCCAAATACCTGACAAGAAAGTGTAAATAGATGTTAGAACAGGGTTTGGGAGTGATATATAAAATCAAGCATGACTAACAATTACGAAAGATAAGAAGTTGTGAGCAGACGTTCTGAAGAGATATGGCACAAAGAAAAATAAAAAATTAATCCTTTGAACTAAATACATATTTCGTCTAGAATAATGATGATGGTGAGTATTTTTCAAACATTATTTAAAATTAGAGTTCAGATAAATATCTCAATCGAAACATTTTGTATCAGTTTAACAAGCGAGGAACAAAATGCCGATGAGAAACTATCTTTAATAAAATAATAAGCGTACCATATCAAAAAATCAAGAAGCGGGAGATTGGGAGAGAATTGAAGCAAATAATTTATTCGTGATAGCATATTTATTTTGAAAATAAGGGCACTATTATATAGCGTGAAATGTATATTGTATTATAAATAGGAGGCTGATCACTGTGAATCACATGGTGTAACGATATAAAGATTAGTTTCTTTAAAACATACAGAAATATCCCTGTAAGTACGTGGCATACAAAATAACAAATGGCGTATTTCCAGCTGACACGGACAATTAAGTTTCCATTAAGGAAATTATCTAGTCTGGGAAAAAATTTCGTAATACTTATGTTTGATGTATACGTCTTGTCTTCGTTAATTAGTCTATATATATATATATATATATATATATATATATATATATATATATATATATATATATATATATATTTAAAAATATGTTTAGTGTTAAAAAGACTTTATCACTGCCATAGACAGAAAAAAAAATAATTTTATTATTACCACTCATGATGTTAATAAGAAAAGTAAAATTGAAAAACGGGCTAGCTAACCGGTTTCGTACCTCGCTCAACAGAGCTAAATCGAGGTTAATAAAGTAAATTATTTAAAAAAGAGAAAAATGGACAAAGTGTATTGGGGAAAAATAGATGGTAATTAGTTGGAGGCCTAATACAAAGTCATTCTGTTTACAGAGAGAAGGTTTTAATGAGAGAATATAGATGACCTTCTACACTTTTAGGTGGTAATTAGAGTGGGGCTTGCTAAGGATGGTAAAAGAATCCACACTAAAACTAGCAGGACAATTATGGCTTTTTATTAGGCGTTCTACGATGGAAGACCTGTATGTATTGGTCAAAATGTCAGAAGAAGGGTTGTACTTTAGGTTTCCGATTTCATTATATATATATATATATATATATATATATATATATATATATATATATATAGAGAGAGAGAGAGAGAGAGAGAGAGATAGAGAGATAGATAGATAGATAGATAGATAGATAGATACTGTTGCGATGGTGTGGTTTATTAATATACGCAAAAATGAAATAAAACTGATATCTTATTTTAACAGATATATTTGGAAAAATTGCACAAAAATACCTTGAAATACTAAAGAGTAAATTTATTCAAAAACATCACCATTAGCTTCAACCATGACCTCCAGACGACTTCAGAATCTCCTTACAAATCTTCTAGAAATTTACTTGTTGGTAAAGAATACCATAATCCTTGCCTTCATTTTATCTTTGGTGTTACATCCAGTATTGTTGGTTTCAGACTCAAGTGCACCCTAAACATAATAATCAAAGGGGTTGCAATCTGGGGAGTTCGGTGGCCAGATTTAGGGAGTGATGTAGTCGCCGAAATTGTTTGACAATAATGACTAGGTACTCCTGCCTATGTGGCACAGTTCGGAGTCTTGATGTCAGACACAAGATATTCCAGTACCCATCATCTCGAACCAGGGCTGAAGTACCCCATTAAGGCACTTGATATAGGCCTCCATGTTGAGTCTAAAGCCCTCACCAACAAAGTCGTCTGCTCATAACGATGAGAGTGAGTTTTCCCACCTGCCGAACGTTAATAATCAGAGATAAACTCATTCAACTCTTTCGGAATCCTCTGCACTGTCCTCAGATTGACATCCAAAGACTCTGAAATGGTCATAGTGGAACCTCTAGCGCGAATGACAAGAAGTACAGCATGGCGTTTCCAAATTTTGGCGGAGTGGATTGCGTCATTGTACTTTTTTTTTCTCACAGATGGTGCCCAAATGATCCTACTTTACAGTGCAGTCAACAAAATCAAAATCAGATAACACGCATGCGCGAAATAAAACTATAATATAGTGAGAAATTACCTATCACAGTATACATATTCTTACGTTACTCTTTCAACGTTGCTTCGCATTTGTCAATTGGGAATGGTGGCAAAGAAATATAATATGTAAATAGACAAAAGAGCTGAATATTTACAAGGCAGGAAGAGTGAAACGACTGGCTGAAATGTTTTGTTTAATATACGCTTGACAGGGTGGGGATGATCAGACATGAAAAGGTTTGTCATTAGAAAACCAAACGAAAGCAATTTAACGGAACGTTTTCAATTGCCTATATGCATAAAAGCCAGTTCAGATGGGAAAATACCAACATTCAAGTGAATAAAATTCGCATTAAGATCCTATCTATCTATCTATCTATCTATCTATCTATCTATTTACATACGTTTCGTCTTTTTATCTATCTAGCTATCCTGCTAGGTGGGTAGCTAGCTAGCTAATTAGCGGCAAAACGAGGTGTTATGTTTATGTCAGCTATACGGAGATTCTAAAATCTGACAAAATGAAAAATCATCAGTATTTGTTTGGACCTGCTTTATTTCAAGTACGTTCTCGCTATCTCACTCTTCGCCGTTTCACTTTTTTGTCTGTCTGCCTCTGTATCTATCTCTGTATATAATCTTATATACTACTACTACTAAGATAATATATATATATATATATATATATATATATATATATATATATATATATATATATATATATAGAGAGAGAGAGAGAGAGAGAGAGAGAATTATAAATATAGAATTTCTCATTTGATTGGTGTTACCTTTAGTATTCCGACTCCGGAGTTTCGGAAACGAAGCCTCTAGAAATCACTCTGTCCACTCCTCAGGAGGTATCATCAATGGACTATTGATACTTCTCGTTTGCTATTTTCATTTGTGTAAAATTGATTTTTTTTTTTCATAGTTTGTGAGTGTGCGCGATCTCGTCTGCGTGTATATTTGCGTATGTGTAGAATGTCGTGGTTATTTCTTCTTTTCGTCATATGTTTTTCACTCCAAACTCACTCCTTATTGTCTTCTTTTATTTTACATTTTCTCCCTTCTGTCAGTTGTAGCGCTTTTGTCATCCGGTTTTTCAGACATTAATCGTGATGTTTAATTCTTAAACGTTCTAGTGTTTTCTTATGTTAGAAAAATTCTATTTCATTTTCTTACATAAGTATTTTTTAAAGAGTATTGTCACTTTAGCGAAAAATATAATTATACTTATAAGGTACGCACAAAAACCTATGTTGTGCCATAATGGTTGTCAGTAGTCAAAAATAAATAAAGAATTTAATATTGCAATAGGCGCATTCTATTTCGCAGAAACATGCGAATTCGTCAGAATATTGTTATATGGCTATTGAAATTTATTTTCGACATTAAGGATACAGGACTTTATAAATACGACGGTGTAATTTTAGTCCGAAAGTCAAGTCTAATGGGTGTAAATCGATTAAGAAAGGAACTGAAAAAATTGTTCCAGTATCACGAACTAAAAATCTCTAAAATAGACCTTTTTAAAGTTATCAATTTTCTCCATGTAAACTTGAACATGAATTCTTGTAATTACTAACTGTAACTAAAGATATACATAATCATAACTATGTTAACAGTGAATCATAAAAAACATTTCCACAAAATACTAAAACATTTACCCAAATCTGTACAATGTAGATTATAGACCTGCTTCATTAATAAGGAAATATTCGATGAAAATAAAGTATAATTTATAAAAGCCTTAGAAGAAATCAACTATGAAGCAATTTTTTTAACGTTTCACCCCAAGTAAGGCGGGAAGCCACTAGCACACAAACGGTTACAGAGAGTTGAAGCGAGAGCAAATGGGAGAGATAGAGGAAAGGATGAAGAGAAGGATAGGGGATAGATCAAGGCAACTGGAGACGTCGATTGACATTACATTTGAATAGTTGGAGATTGTAGCTATCAGGGAAACAGGAAAAGGGAAGGGAGTTTCACAGGAGAGAAGTGCGAGACATGTAACTATTGGAGTAGAAGAGACGGTTACATTTAACAGTTTTGACAGTGAAAGGCTGTGAGCAAAACGCCAACGTCGTTGAATGCTTAAATTCATCGTTCATCGGAGCATTTACCGTGAAAGTATGTGTAAAAAATACAGAGAGAGGCGACGGCACGTCTGTGAGAGAGCAAGTTGCCAGATCAGGGCCAATTACATTGCATATCCGTCTCTTGATTTTATCAAGGACCTTGAGACAAACAGAAGGGTTTCCAAACCATATATGGCAGCAATACACTTGGGAAAAAAACAAGAAGTAAATATAAATATACACTTTAAGGCGGGATGTTTTAACCCGCCCTTATAGCCACAATTTAAACACTAATGTTAGTAGAAGTTTTTCTTAAATCAATAAATAAAGATAAAAAAATTCTGCAATAACAAAGATTTTTAACAAAATGATGATCTACACCTGCGTTAGAAATATCGAAAAATCTTTATCCTACCTTAAAATTATTATATTGTTTAAATATATCATTAACAAATAAAACTGCGAAACTAGAGATAGAAGTAATAATTGTAACTGACGTAACGATACGATCTAATATATAAATTATAAATATAACAGAGCCGTTTGCGGCATGCGCTGTTATACATATCTAAATACTCTCGGAGATCAACATAGTAAATATATCAAATTTTTAGCGATCACGTGTGGTTCTATGTATTTCTATTCTCTCAAACACACGCCCATTAACACAGAGTATAGATCCCTCATCAGGAGACACCAACTTTTCATAGAACGATAATTATATTCTAGACTAAAAATAATGCAGAGAAAGTTGTTTATTTTAATTTAATCATTTTTTTTTGTAGAATCTTGAGACAATCGAAAAGGATTTATCAGTTAATATTTATGAACAAACACAAAATGATTTAAAATCTTTTAACGAAATATGAATTTCTTGTCGTCAATTGATGAGTTTTCCATCCATTTTTTTTTCAATTCTATATCATACATTTAAAGGCAATTTTTGACTATTTTTCAAATAGAGGGTATAAATAGATACAAGGTTTATACAATTTATAATACCTCTTATAAAATCATAAATTTTCTATTCTGTAATGTCTCTTACTTTATGCCAAATATTTAAAGAATGCATACTGTCTAAGCGTGAAAATAATATAATGAATTTATAAAAGAATACAAGCAATAATAGAAAATAAATGCGATTACACGACTGATTTCATATCAAATTTTTCATCTGGGTTGATTCATTTTGGGCGATAAAATATTCCTATTTAAAGTTGACCTACGGGTTAGGTTAATGATGCATTATACGAATTTAATGTTTCTGCAGTATATCTAAGTGTAAGAAAATTAATTGGTGACAATATTATTTTTTTTTCTTTAATTGCAACCCTGTTAGTGATAATGAAATCAGTTATTATTATTTGAAATATATTGCCTATTTTATATATTTATAACGTGCCACTCGAGATGCGCATAATACATTTAATAATCTTTTCATATAATTTATAATTTTAGTGAATATTTGGACGAAATCTATATTTCTTTAATATTACTATTTATATGTCACAGAGTTTGTTTTTAACTTTAAACTTAACTGTCTATTGAATACAAGTTTCGTACATCAGTTACATATAAATGGTGAATTAATGTTATTGTGTTCTTTGTGAATTAGCGTATAAGAAGTTGGATCCTATTAATCAAGTTTTAATATCATCTTTTAATGGGAAAATGCAAGGGGAAAAAGATTTATTCTGTTATTTATATTTCCACCGTTATCATTAGCTCCGTGCTATAACTTTCTTACTTCTCAGTCGGAACGGAATGGCTGAAAGGAAAAGGAATGATAAACATACGGAGATACATTTATAATACTAGGACATAAACAAAAAACATATATATATATATATATATATATATATATATATATATATATATATATATATATATATATATCAACAAGTTGTCAAAAATATATATCACATACGCATAAATGATTTCATGAATATTTATTGACACTAGAACAAAAAAAAACAATAATTACATCATATAAGATTTTTTCCACAATACTTATTTAATGCAGAAATAAGGTGAAATCTTTGAACATTTTGAAACTCCTCTACTAGAAAATTTATTTCATATTTAATCTATAAAAAAAAGAAAGCGTACAAATAACACAACAGAATATAATATACATAACTTTGGCAACTCAACCTATATTGGCAAAAACACACACACACACACACAAACACACACATATATATATATATATATATATATATATATATATATATATATATATATATATATATATATATATATATATGGTTTTTCCAATATGAGGTCATTTTTTTCTGTTATTTGTACGTTTTCTCAAGCAAGAAAATGACTGTACATGTCACTGAGTCTCTCTGCTTACACACATAGAAAAGCTATCTCTTCCTTCTTTATATATATATATATATATATATATATATATATATATATATATATATATATATATATGAAGTTAGGTCAGCACACAGAGACAGTCATTTTGTTGCTTGAACAATAGACAAGACCAATTAATTAATTCCAATTTTAATGTAAACGAATAGATTTGCAAAAAATAAAATGGTGTGACAGGTGATGCACGCACATATATATATATATATATATAAATATATAAATAAATAAATATAAATAAAAAAAGCTCTCTGGGTGTGTGTATGTATTATGCTAAAAACAAACCCACAGTTCAATTGCATGGCGAGACGTCCGGGTGCATCTAGCTAGGATCGAAACCCCACTGAATTGGCTTCAGTAGGATTCTACCAGTAAGCCGTTGGCGCACGCCAGTGATGAAGGTGAATTCAAGCGTATTAATTTTTAGATAAACAGACAATAAGTGAGAGAACTTGATTCGAGTTACCGAAAAGTCTTGCATTATTAGCCGTAAGTCACTGTTTACATACCCACACTTCCTTCCCAGAGAACTAAACCGAAATAAATTTTTCAGGAGTTTATATAATGTCATGCAAAGACAGATTATATATATATATATATATATATATATATATATATATATATATATATATATATATATATATAAATTTCTCAGAGTTAAACTGTAGAAAAGACAATATTTATAAATATAAATGACAATAAGAAAACTGTAGTTATTGCTGATGCCTTTCGTCCAGTGTGGACTTTCTCAAAGCAAAAAACGAAATTAATTTAATTAAAGAAAGTAACTAATAATTGCAAAAAACAGAATGTTCTTAGCAAATAGAGGAATGTAGAGAACGCTATTTTCATATTGTTAACTTTGCGAAAGTCCACATTGGACGAAACGCGTCAGCAATAACTACAGTTTTCCTATTGTCATTTATATATATATATATATATATGTGTGTGTGTGTGTGTGTGT